TGCTTTTAGTTGCCTGGCTTCAAAGATTGGCATATCCTAAGTACATTTTTAAATGGATGGGTTTCTTTGTGCAAAAAATAGAGCAGGTGATTTTGCTATTTGGACCAGGCTGCTGCGATGTCATGCAGACTGCCATTTTGTTTATACTTTTTCATAATGAAAAGAACAAGTTTGATGTCTGACAACAACAATAGAATGTTCATGATTTAATGTGTGCCAAAGATGGTAAGATGAAAGGTGATGTTTATACTGAGGGGTTGACATTACCGCAATCGGTTGGCGAAAGTAAAAGTACAGGTTTTGTTGTCTGCAATACCTTTCAGATATAAAGAAAAGTAGACTAAAAGCTGGTGGGATGCTAAAGTTGGCAGAAAAACGTCTTGGTTTGAAAGGTGTATTAGTTAGGGAAATGAGTTGGAGAATTAGTTAGGGGAATCAACAGTATGCTCAATTTGACCCTTTCTTAACGCAAGTACAGTGTGGTTTCAGACAATATGGTGTGAGGCTGAAAAAGGTGAAAGAGCTATATTAACAGTGATAAACAGTATGTGACCAATACGTTTGACACCCAACAATTTAGCACACAAGGCATTTACTTTGCTGCAGCTAAATAAATACAAATCCTTGTGGTATTGACTGAGATATAATGTAATTCATACACTTTCATCCCAATCCTTATGCAGCGATTAATAACAATTCAATGCATTTCCTTTTCAGTTTATATGGTGATTCTCTGCACCTCCAATGCTAAGGAAAACATGTAGTTTGGCATTTATGCAAAAATAAAGTGAGAAGTGATTTAGTATGCAAAGTTATATAGAGAACTGGAGAGGAATGTCCTTGGGCTGCTCGTTGTACCACAAGGGCCTCTGCTTTCCAATAATGACAGTCCCTATGTACACTCCAGTCTTGAAATGCACTTATCCCTGTAGAAGCCTGTGAGAATAATTAAAATGGACATGAAAAAAACACTGTGGTTAGCATTTATTTTCTGTTTCCGTCTTCTCTCTGACAAACATTTGTTTCGATTTACATGATCCGACTATAATATTTTGACCCTCTTTGCTTTGTGTTTTTTCCAAGTAAGGCCTAGATTTAATCAGATCAAACGTTAACCGGCGATAGCCTACACCCGCCTAGCTGATGTTTTGGCGGTGTCGGAAGTGTTACTGAGTTGGAGCTGTCCAATCCGTAAGCAGCTGCTCTTGTGATCATTGTCACAAAGCCACACCCATCCCACTCGCGTTAGAAGTTCAGAACGAGAAAGAGAAGGCTATATAGAAATAATGATGCTCAAATTGAAAATCATTAAACAAAATTAGGGGGATTTCTATCAGCCTAATCGAGGTGTAGATTACATCTCACATTCCAGAGTTTGAACAAGGCTGCATGGGATTTCTCTTAATGCGATTCCATGCAGCTAATGGCAATGTCCACTTAAGCTATAATGCCGGGAGCCACTTGTGGAATTGACAGCTCTAACGCTGTCATAGCGGTTGTTTTGGCGGTGTCGGCTAGTGAGAATCTGATAGAATCTAGCCCTAACTGAGCACTATTTTCCATGGTACATTGCTCAAACTACCACATGTTGGAACTTCACTAGTCTGCCAAAAATGGAGCCAGATTGCCTCAGCATAAAAATGTGCATATGAGCGCTTCTGTGGTCTTACTAAATAATCCAAAATGGAGTCAACTTCTCTCCACTAATTGCACGTTACCACAAATAGACCATTAGCTTGCAATCGTGTGAACCAGTGTGTGTGTGTGTGTGTGTGTGTGTGTGTGTGTGTGTGGGGGGGGGGGGGGGGGGGGGGGGGTGGTGCGTGTGTATGTGTGGGTGGGTGTGTGTGTGTTAGCGTGTGTGTAGATTAAACTAACAGTACACAGAAACTGAGAAAGAAGAAAATCACAATATATTATTTCTTTTCCTCAACAGACCTTTCAACAACACCAATAAAAACAATAAATTACATTGTTAAAAAGAAGGCAACATGAAAGCACAACACACAGGTAATGTGAATAGACACAGAAAGTGGAATTTAAAGCTAAATCATCTTTGTACAGTAATTAAATGGCATTACTTTTGTACTTAACTTTGTCAGTTACCAGTCATTAACGTGTTGACTAGCTCAAAATTCAGTTATTAAACGTAACCAAAAAATACCATCTAGTAATTCAATTAATCAAGTGTTGTGAACTTCAAGATTTCCACTTAGGAACTGGTTTGCAATTAATCTCTTGTGGTAATACAAAACAAAAAGAGTAAAATCATGACATTGTTGACCTGGGCATGGCAATGTTGACTGCCATCTGTCTAAATAAAAAAAGTAAGAAAGAGTAAAGTACATGTCCAATGTTTAACATGTAAGCACATACAGTGGGGAGAACAAGAATTTGATACACTGCCGATTTTGCAGGTTTTCCTACTTACAAAGCATGTAGAGGTCTGTAATTTTTATCATAGGTACACTTCAACTGTGAGAGCCGGAATCTAAAACAAAAATCCAGAAAATCACATTGTATGATTTTTAAGTAATTCATTTGCATTTTATTGCATGACATAAGTATTTGATACATCAGAAAAGCAGAACTTTATATTTGGTACAAAAACCTTTGTTTGCAATTACAGAGATCATACGTTTCCTGTAGGTCTTGACCAGGTTTGCACACACTGCAGCAGGGATTTTGGCCCACTCCTCCATACAGACCTTCTCCAGATCCTTGAGGTTTCGGGGCTGTCGCTGGGCAATACGGACTTTCAGCTCCCTCCAAAGATTTTCTATTGGGTTCAGGTCTGGAGACTGGCTAGGCCACTCCAGGACCTTGAGATGCTTCTTACGGAGACACTCCTTAGTTGCCCTGGCTGTGTGTTTCGGGTCGTTGTCATGCTGGAAGACCCAGCCACGATCCATCTTCAATGCTCTTACTGAGGGAAGGAGGTTGTTGGCCAAGATCTCGCGATACATGGCCCCATCCATCCTCCCCTCAATACGGTGCAGTCGTCCTGTCCCCTTTGCAGAAAAGCATCCCCAAAGAATGATGTTTCCACCTCCATGCTTCACGGTTGGGATGGTGTTCTTGGGGTTGTACTCATCCTTCTTCTTCCTCCAAACACGGCGAGTGGAGTTTAGACCAAAAAGCTCTATTTTTATCTCATCAGACCACACAGGTCATTGGCAAAGTTCAGACAGGCCTGGACATGCGCTGGCTTGAGCAGGGAGACCTTGCGTGCGCTGCAGGATTTTAATCCATGACGGCGTAGTGTAAGTGGTTTTCTTTGAGACTGTGGTCCCAGCTCTCTTCAGGTCATTGACCAGGTCCTGCCGTGTAGTTCTGGGCTGATCCCTCACCTTCCTCATGATCATTGATGCCCCGTGAGGTGAGATCTTGCATGGAGCTCCAGACCGAGGGTGATTGATCGTCATCTTGAACTTCTTCCATTTTCTAATAATTGCGCCAACAGTTGTTGCCTTCTCACCAAGCTGCTTGCCTATTGTCCTGTAGCCCATCCCAGCCTTGTGCAGGTCTACAATTTTATCCCTGATGTCCTTACACAGCTCTCTGGTCTTGGCCATTGTGGAGAGGTTGGAGTCTGTTTGATTGAGTGTGTGGACAGGTGTCTTTTATACAGGTAACGAGTTCAAACAGGTGCAGTTAATACAGGTAATGAGTGGAGAACAGGAGGGCTTCTTAAAGAAAAACTAACAGGTCTGTGAGAGACGGAATTCTTACTGGTTGGTAGGTGATACAATGCAAATTAATTACTTAAAAATCATACAATGTGATTTTCTGGATTTTTGTTTTAGATTCCGTCTCTCACAGTTGAAGTGTACCTATGATAAAAATGACAGACCTCTACATGCTTTGTAAGTAGGAAAACCTGAACAATTGGCAGTGTATCAAATACTTGTTCTCCCCACTGTAGCTGTCAAAATCATTTTTTTATTTTGATAGCTATGTGCTTCCATATGTTGTGGAGGAGCTGAAATACAGTGATGCAAAGGATTTGGCATGGTAGCAAATTGCACTTGGATGCTACAACCTGAAGGAAATGTAGTATTTCTGCCCCACTAAACCAGTCCAGCTGATGTCTCAGCATGGAACCACTAATGCTCCAAATTACCACTAATTCCTTATATACTACATTACTTTAGTTCAGATGGATGAACGGCTAACCAAAGACATGGTATCTAAGTGAAAAGGGAAACAAGACACTGAGGTATCAGATTATTTGGAGTACAGTCAGAGTGCACTGAATGAAAATACAGAAAAATTCATCTAACTTTTGCCAAGTGAGCTGTGTCATAAAAAATTAAACAAACAACAACATTATTATTAAAAGGTGCAATTCGTAAGTTCGATTTTCTGTATAAAATCGTGGCCTCCACCGCTCCTGGAGAGCACTCGCAAGCAACACCAAAGATTGTCAGGAAAAGGGTGCACTACTTAGCATAATTTTTTCTTTGTTTTATTTTTGTTTTAGGTTGATTGTGGTTCATCTTGTTGGGGCAGATAACTTACAAATTGCACCTTTAACCTCCTATCAGTACAACAATTGAATTCCTAATTATGTTTAAAGCTCGTCCTTTCTTGTTTTGGTGAAGGGACAAGTGGCTAAGGTTTAGTGAGGTGTAAATAAATTTGGTTTTAAGATACAAAATAGCACAACTGTGAGAAGTTGCCCTTGTAAAACCACTTAAATGTCACTGTGACATCACTGTAGAACACTTAGCAGCAGGAAAATAACGTTGATCATCAAGGGAACACATCCATCTTCTATATTTCACACAGCAAGCTCAATGAACAAGACACCTTATGAAACATTTCTAAACTACTCAAATTTCAACCAGTTGAAGTCCTAGTTCATCATTTTAAAATGTTATCAAAGTTACCATGCCAACTGTATTTGATTTTATTAGAATTTGAACTCTTGACAACTCTAGGTAAAATAACCCTCTGGTCTTTGTCTGCGTTGGTATTATTCCCATAGCCACGCAGCACTATCCAAAGCAGTAGTACTCATCGGAGTCCACTCTGAGTCGCATTGTTGGCTTGCTGAAAGTCTCGTCCTCTATAACGGGTTTATCAGAGAAAAGATCAAGGTCTGTTGGAGAACGGTGTTCTGGAAGGTCTTCTGCTAACTCATCCAACGTATCCAGATAGCTGCCCACGGATATCCCGTCCAATCCATCGCTGTGTCCGTCGTGCAGACTGATGAAGCTGCCGCGTGAAGAGGTGTCGTCCTGGCTGTCTGATAGGCTGTACAGGCTGCCTGTCAGGCTGCTTTCACGACTGGCTATTCCCTCCTTGTCGTCCATCACCCATTTGATGGATTCGATGCCGTCGTTGATGGACATCAGCTGCTGCATCAGCTTGACATCGATGGCACGGAGGTGGGCCTGCGTTTGGTGTGAAAAGGAGATGCATTTTAGGCCTTTGTCATTATAGATTTGGACTAGAAACTGGACAACTTGAAACCCACATTTTTACATGTATTATAAAGTCACACAATAACACACTTCCAACAAGTAGGCCTACAATCGTATTAGTTTTTTAGATACAATGCTTTCCTATTCAATTTTTGTGAGAAGCCAACACCAGCATGTCTTTTGCATTGGCAAAGTAATGGTGAACATCAAATTGCCCCTGGGGGATAGTAAAGACACCACTCTACTCTTTGGAAGTGACATGTAGACAAAGACAGAACAGCATGCCACAGGAGATCTTTCCATCCTTGTCATGTAACAGCTTGGTCTGTGACTGCATAGCGCATAGAAGGACATTCTCACCTAGATGCCTATACAGTACCACCATTGATTTACCACCGCACCATGACAATCCCCATAGAGTAGGGGTGGGGGGAGGTAGCCTATGGTCTCATTCAGAAAGATTCCCCCAGGCTACCAGCGACAAATAGCCAGCTGTTTACGCCAATGGACAGTCAGTGGCAGCAGTCAAAAAGCATTACGCCAGATGGTGGCTGACAAAGCTGATACAATGTTCCGGACAACTGGCTTTATAAAACAGAGCCCTTTCTTGGGAGTGGATCGTGACAGGCCCCGTTTAGCTCATAATTCTGCCAGTGTTTGCTTTGCGGATATAACCCGCCCTTTATGTGTGCACACACGTTGAGCCGGAGCATAGCGGAATTTTACAACAGTATTAGCAGTGTCAATTAAAGTTGGTTCGAATGGGGTGGTGAATCACAACATGGGTCTAGCTAATGTGATTTACTGCTGCTTGATTTTTTGTTTGTTAGTCATTTATATTCATCTTTATTGATTTACCCGCCCTCCAACAATACTTACAAGAATTAAGTTTAAGATATTTTCTGAACTCTATTTAAAACAAGTCAGATTATTCTGGGCTTTTGTCTAAAATGGGAGTTATAGGCATTTCTTTTTTATTTTCTTTTTTTACAAAATGTTAATATACCTATGTTATAACAATATACAGTATTTGAATGAAATATTTGTGGAGGAATACACAAGATGACCAAGATACAGACAACTGGTAGTCTATTGAGTACCACCGTATGAGTCATAAAAACCGGAAATGGTTCCAATCGTTTTTTTCACCATTCATTTTTCCATCTAGGACTACTTCATATAAGGTCTGTGTTTCGTCTAGGCTTACCCTGGCGTGACGTTTTGATGAATGCGCAAATCTCTCGGACAAGGTCACTTTTATCAATATTTAGCATTGTGAATTTTTTTGAGAAAATTGAGGCGAATATATTGATAAAACTCACCTTGTCCGAGAGAGAATTACACAGCTATTATACCGTCACACCAAGGTAAGACTGCACCAAACAAACACATTTTTTTGTAAAATTCACGATGTGAAAAATGAATGGCGGAAAAACCATTGGAACCATTTCTGTGTTTTTATGGGTATTATGATGCGTCCACTGTGGTGGACTATTGTGAAGTGAAACAGCCAGTTGGCCAAGAGAAAAGCAGCTTGATTGGATTAAAGATTAAGTTCTGATTGTAAGAGGTGACAACAGCACAAAAGCCTTAGATGGCCCAAATGTGCCATTCACTATAGTAGGGAGGAGGGAACACAGCAGAGTACTCTTGCTGTCTTACAGTGCATTCGGAAAGTATTCACACCCCTTGACTTTTTTCACATTTTGTTAAGCTACAGCCTTATTCTAAAATGGATGAAAACTTTTTTGCCCTCATCAATCTACACACAATACCCCATAATGACAAAGCAAAAATAATACATTTACATAAGTATTCAGACCCTTTACTCAGTACTTTGTTGAAGCACCTTTGGTAGCGATTACAGCCTCGAGTCTTCTTGGGTATGACGCTACAAGCTTGGCACACCTGTATTTGGGGAGTTGCTCCCATTCTTCTCTGCAGATCCTCTCAAGCTCTGTCAGGTTGGATGGGAGATGTTCGATCGGGTTCAAGTCTGAGCTCTGGCTAGGCCACTCAAGGACATTCAGACTTGTCCCGAAGCCACTCCTGCGTTGTCTTGGCTGTGTGCTTAGGGTTGTTGTCCTGTTGGATGGTGAACCTTCGCCCCAGTCTGAGATCCTGAGCGCTCTGGAGCAGATTTTCATCAAGGATCTCTCTGTACTTTGCTCAGTACATCTTTCCCTCGATCCTGACTAGTCTCCCAGTCCCTGCCGCTGAAAAACATTCCCACAGCATGATGCTGCCACCACCATGCTTCACCGTAGAGATCATGCGACGTTTCCTCCAGACGTGACGCTTGGCATTCAGGCCAAAGAGTTCAATCTTGGTTTCATCAGACCAGAGAATCTTGTTTCTCATGGTCTGAGAGTCCTTTAGGTGCCTTTTGGCAAACTCCAAGCGGGCTGTCATGTGCCTTTTACTGAGGAGTGGCTTCCGTCTGGCCACTCTACCATAAAGGCCTGATTGGTGGAGTGCTGAAAAGATGGTTGTCCTTCTGGAAGGTTCGCCCATCTCCACAGAGGAACTCTGGAGCTCTGTCAGAGTGACCATCGGGTTCTTGGTCACCACCCTGACCTAGGCCCTTCTCCCCCAATTGCTCAATTTGGCCGGGCGGCCAGCGCTAGGAAGAGTCTTGGTGGTTCCGAACTTCTTCCATTTAAGAATGATGGAGGCCACTGTGTTCTTTGGGACCTTCAATGCTGCAGAAATGTTTTGGTACCATTCCCCAGATCTGTGCCTCGACATAATCCTGTCTCAGAGCTCTACAGACAATTCCTTCGACCTCATGGCATGGTTTTTGCTCTGACATGCACTGTTAACTGTGGGACCTTATATAGACAGGTGCCTTTCCAAATCATGTCCAGTCAATTGAATTTGCACAGGTGGACTCCAATCAAGTTGTAGAAACATCTCAAGGATGATCAATGGAAACAGGATGCACCTGAGCTCAACTTCGAGTCTCATAGCAAAGGGACTGAATACTTATGTAAATAAGATATTTCTGTTTTATATTTTTATACATTTGCAAAAATGTCTAAAAACCTGTTTTTGTTTGTCATTATGGGGTATTGTGTGTAGATTGATGAGGAACATGTTTTAATTAATCAATTTTAGAATAAGGCTGTAACATAACAAAATGTGGAAAAAGGGAAGGGGTCTGAATACTTTCCGAATGCACTGTATATATATTTCTCACTGATATGAAAGATACCTTCCTTATGTTTCCAAAACCGTACCGCAAGTGATGCGTGTTAACGTTTAGAGCAAGTGTCAGGGCTCTTAACAAAACTCCCCCAGCCAGAAGATACTACCATCAATAGGCGCTAAAGGTAGTTAGCGTCTATGAATGGGCTAACATTTTATACAGTATATCTCCATTGCCTTAAGATCAGCATTATAAGTCATCCATAAACTTCTGAGAAGGCAAAAGTATAGCCTATGAACACAAGGGCAATAAAGTTGGATTGCCATCAGGCATCTGTAGGTTATTGCATAACATGTTGAATTAAGATATCACAGGTCAGTAAACTTTCAATATAGCCTAAATAAAACAGCTGCAATAACCTTGGACAACAACCAGACTACTACAGCTAAAAGCTATTTTGTTAGCTTGGGTAAATTCATAGATATTAAAACCAGTAGATAGTGATAGCGCTGACGAATCCACGTATTCCTATGGAAAACTCCTGATGGCGCATGAAAGCCGGAAGTATTAGAATTTGAAGCACGCCATATTGTTGAATGGGGCTGAATGGCAAAAATTCTCTAAGGTGAAATCATTGTTAAAGTGGCCATAACTAGCAAAGGATCATGGTCGATGTAGTCGTTTTCATCCTGCCTGAGAGATTCAACCCAACAGCTGCTTGATGCACACCACACCCCCTTAGATACACGTGCAAAGAGTGTTCATGACGGTGTGAGTGACTGGTCTGTGTCAGCACATGGTCCTGTGTGAAGACAAATGTAGTAGTCTAATGGATCACTATTTAATTAAATATCTGGATTTGTTGCGGAATAATTCACCGTAGAACTAATTTTAGAGCCCAAAGTGGCCATCTATTATTTATATTTTTTGACCTTTCCATATGCTTTCTAAGGAAGACCAGGGCTTCTACCAATGATTTATATATACACTAGATGACTTGTAGGGGGTGCTGTGTTGAAGCCACCATGCCTCCATCTTGGCACTCCCTCACCATTGTTAAAAATATTTTGGAAGCTATAGAAATGCATTTACATTCTACATTTGTTTTTGCCATATTTATTCTATTACAGACACTTTAATGTATTATTTTAAATTATATTATGTGAGCTAAACATACAAATAAAAAATGAAATAATATATATTTTTTTTTTTCCTTAAAGTATAATTCTTTGGGATTACTAATGTTACTGTCCCCACTACAACAACACAATACTTAAATAAATGTAATTTTGTCCTTGAAATACTGTAGAATTCCATTGGTTCCTATGGAGGACTGTTCCTACTGGGGAGTGCTGACCGGTGGCTTCAAAGCTTCTCAATGGCCAATACATAGCATCCGAAATCCAGGGTTTATATACATCATTAGTTGCTACGCAGTAGCCGACCAGCAGAGCTGGTGACTTCACGCTCCAGACCAGTCACTGCGGGCCTTGGGTAAATTGCACTTAATGCAATGCACCACTGAATATACAGAAAGGTTTTGAAAAAGAAGTGAACTGACTTAAAAAAGCCTGTTTGAATTGCAACAGTACCCGTTTTGGATGTCTGCTTCAGTATTCAAGAAACATTATCAAAGGCTTACTGTATGAAACACAGGAGGCTGGTGAGGGGAGGATGGCTCATAATAAATGCTGGAACGGAGCCAATGGAATGGCATAAAACACATGAAAACCATGTGTTTGATGTATTTGATACCATTCCACTAATTCTGCTCCAGCCATTACCACGAGCCCGTCCTCCCCAATTAAGGTGCCACCAACCTCCTGTGGTTTGAAGCAACTCACTGACCCAAACCGACAGGGACAGACGCATCTTTAAGGCAACCACTTACCATTTCCTGTTTCAAAAATAACATCTTGCTCTCCAGTCGTTTCAAGTCAGCAGAGTTCGACTGGTTTTTCGGTGTCGCCGTTTTCGTATCCTCATGTTTGTCGTGATGGTTATTTCCTCCTGCAAGGGAACGAATGAGACTTTCAGGAACTTTGCGACCCAACTTTGTCTCAATATCTTTAAAATCGCGTAAGACGTGGTCCCCGTCCATGGTAGAATTACAGTAAGACTAGGCCTATAAACGAATATATATATAAATATATATATATATATATATATATATATATATATATATGCTACGTTTTTCACTATGTGCAATAGGAAAAACCGAGAGAGCAAATTATAGGGTTCAGTGGCTTGACGACTCCCACTGACTTCACGTCCATAGCCTTGATGGTCTTAGCGCTCAAAAACCGTTCTTATCCGTAGGTAGTTAAGCGTCTATGAATGGGTTAGAATGGTCTGAGATCCGATGTTGAAAGCGTCCTCTATATATCTATTGGCGCACAGTTGCAGAGAAAAGTAATTAAAAAACAAAGTTGCCCCATCCAATTCTTCTCACCAATTCAAAATATAGAGTGTAATCCACAACAAAATAGATACATATCCCGTTATTATGCCTACTGCAAAGCCACTACACTCATCCATGAACAATTTTAGTTTTGGAAGTCCCGTCCGCCGGTGTCAGTCGTGTCCACTGAAACAATTGTCGAGCAGCACAGTTGGATTACAGCCACAGACACCCAAATGGAGCTTATGACCCCAGACAGGTGGGACTTTGAAACCACGCCTGTTTGCTGTAATCATAAGGCAATTGTCATAGCATATGTTTTGGCTTATTGTGCACAGTCATTTACTAATCATCAGTTCAATCATACAAACGATTAAATTGACATTTTATGTCAGCAAAGTAGGTTGCAGGAAGAAGTCTTTCGTAGGCTACAGTAAGCGGTCTTTCGTGCTGAATGTATTTTAATTCAAACCAATGTCGTGGCGCCTAGGCCTATAGCCTATTTGCATAGTTGTAGGCTACATTATTATTAGGGTACAGTTGTATTATACTTGCGTAATTAAATCAATATATTTTTAAAAGCAATCTTGAACTACTTTAAAGCAAACAAATTAACCTAAGTTTGATCTACGAAAAAAGATTTAAAATGTATGCACTCACTACTGTAAATCACTCTGGATGAGATCGTCTGCTAAATGACTAAATTGTAAATATAAAATCTAATTAATGATCATATATGTATTCAAAGCAACACATTTTGCCTTGATTGACCATGTCCTCTCCCTCACTACTTTGTTCAAGTTGTATTCCACTTCACTTCTACCACCTTGTGGCAATTAATGAGAATTTGCATTACTTACACCAAATCAAATCAAATTTTATTTGTCACATGTGCCGAATACAACAGGTGTAGACCTTACAGTGAAATGCTTACTTACAAGCCCTTAACCAACAATGCAGTTTTACGAAAGAATACCAACAAAAATCACAACAAATACAATATAAAATAATATGAAATAAAAGTAACAAATAATTATAGAGCAGCAGTAAAAATAACAATAGCGAGGCTATATACAGGGGGTACCGGTACCGAGTCAAACCGGTTAGTCGAGGTAATTGAGGTAATATGTACATGTAGGTAGAGTTATTAAAGTGACTATGCATAGATAATAAACATAGAGTAGCAGCAGCGTAAAAGAGGGGGGGGGGGGGGGGGGGGGGGGGGGGGTAGAAGTCTGTGTAGCCATTTGATTAGATGTTCAGGAGTCTTATGGCTTGGGGGTAGAAGCTGTTTAGAAGCCTCTTGGACCTAGACTTGGCGCTCCGGTACCGCTTGCCGTGCGGTAGCAGAGAGAACAGTCTATGACTAGGGTGGCTGGAGTCTTTGACAATTTTTAGGGCCTTCCTCTGACACCGCCTGGTATTGAGGTTTTGGATGGCAGGAAGCTTGGCCCCAGTGATGCACTGGGCCGTACGCACTACCCTCTGTAGTGCCTTGTGGTCGGAGGCTGAGCAGTTGCCATACCAGGCAGTGATGCAACCGGTCAGGATGCTCTCGATGGTGCAGCTGTAGAACCGTTTGAGGATCTGAGGACCCATGCCAAAGTGGCAAAGTAGGCTATACAACTTTTTAGATATGATCCTGTTGTTTTTTCTATTATATAAAATTCTATATAAGGAGAGTGCTTATGCATGACATTACACTCCACAATTGTTGCAGAAATTATAATAATGCAAGACAAATACTTAATATTTTCTTTTGTTTAATCACCTCATATTTTCTATGGATTTAAAAAGAAGTTCAATTTTGAACCAAAAGGATTCAAATAAATTGAAATATGTTTACACATCATTGTTATACTCATAATCTATAGTTATATAGGTCAAAGTAATGTAACTAATAGTAGAATGGGTAATAGGGTCAATTAGATTCCATATTATGGACTACATCAGTTGTGGTAAAACTTGGCCATGAGAGGACGGGCCGCATTGTGCAGGTTTTTGTTCCCGACCAGCATTAACGCACCTAATTCTACTCACACTGCCACCCTCCATCGCCAACATTTGGCCACTCCCGGAATACAGTTTGTGACGCATATTATATGGCATTCGAAACTCAAATTGAAATGATGAAAACATGATTTTGTAATCTAATTACATAGCTGCAAACAAAACAAAAGTATGGAAATATGTGACACTCAGCTAAGCCTGGATCAGGCACTAAACAAAAGAAAACTGACAAAAACAGGGAGGGACTACACATTGTCTGTTGCGCCCTAATGAACATGACCCTGTGGTTTCACATTCGGCTCAGACCCCGGATTGGCTTTTGTCGTCGTCATAGCGTTGGTACTGTTCACCCAGCAGGGGCTGGCAGCCCTCCAGTTTGCTGTAGGAGCGGGCGCTCACAACACATGCGGTGGAAGCATAGATTACAGCCACGATGACCAGGGCCGCCACGATGGCAATGGTGATGATCTCGGTCAAAGTGAAAGGAGCAGCTATAGCGAGGAAACAAGATTTATAACAGTTACATTTGTAATTATATGGAATGTGACACTAGCAAAGAGTCACAGACAGACAGATACAGACAGACAGATGGACTCTAACCATGGTTAAAAAACCATGGTTAAAAAAACAAAACAAAAACAATATATATATATATATATATATATATATATATATATACTCTTGGCATTCTCTCAACCATCTTCATGAGGTAGTCACCTGGAATGCATTTCAATTAACAGTTGTGGCTTCTTAAAAGTTAATTTGTGGAATTTCTTTCCTTCTTAATGCGTTTGAGCCAATCAGTTCTGTTGTGACAAGGTAGGGGGGTATACAGAAGATAGGCCTATTTGGTAAAATACCAAGCCATATTATGGCAAGGACACCTCAAATAAGCAAAGAGAAACGACAGTCCATCATCATACAGTACCAGTCAAAAGTTTGGACACACCTACACATTCAAGGGTTTTTCTTTATTTTTACTACTTTCTACATTGTAGAATAATAGTGAAGACATCAAAATTATGAAATGTAGTAACCAAAAAAGTGTTAAACAAATCAAAATATATTTTATATTTGAGATTCTTCAAATAGCCACCCTTTGCCTTGATGACAGCTTTGCACACTCTAGGCATTCTCTCAACCAGCTTCATGAGGTAGTCACCTGGAATGCATTTCAATTAACAGGTGTGCCTTGTTAAAAGTTAATTTGTGGAATTTCTTTCCTTCTTAATGCGTTTGAGCCAATCAGTTGTGTTGTGACAAGGTCGGGGTGGTATACAGAAGATAGCCCTATTTGGTAAAAGACCAAGTCCATATTATGGCAAGAACAGCTTAAATAATAAAAGAGAAACAACAGTCCATCATTACTTTAAGACATGAAGGTCAGTCAAGAACTTTGAACGTTTCTTCAAGTGCAGTCACAAAAACCATCAAGCACTATGATGAAACTGGCTCTCACGAGGACCACCACAGGAATGGAAGACCCAGAGTTACCTCTGCTGTGTTGCAGAGGATAAGTTCATTAGAGTTACCAGCCTCAGAAATTGCAGCCCAAATAAATGCTTCACAGAGTTCAAGTAACAGACACATCTCAACATTAACTGTTCAGAGGAGAATGTGTGAATCAGGCCTTCATGGTCGATTTGCTGCAAAGAAACCACTACTAAAAGATACCAATAATAAGAAGAGACTTGCTTGGGCCAAGAAACACGAGCAATGGACATTAGACTGGTGGAAAATTGTCCTTTGGACTGCTGGTGACACTGTCTGTGATTTATTTAGAATTTAAGGCACACTTAACCAGCATGGCTACCACAGATGGCTACCAAACCATCTGGTATGGGCTTAGTGGGACTATCATCTGTTTTTCAACAGGACAATGACCCAACACACCCCCAGGCTGTGTAAGGGCTATTTTACCAAGAATGAGAGTAATGGAGCGCTGCATCACATTACCTGGCCTCCACAATCCCCGACCTCAACCCAATTGAGATGGTTTGGGATGAGTCGGACCGCAGAGTGAAGGAAAGGCAGCCAACAAGTGATCAGCATATGTGGGAAGTCCTTCAAGACTGTTGGAAAAGCATTCCAGGTGAAGCCGGTTGAGAGAAGATCCGAGAGTGTGTATAGCTGTCATCAAGGCAAAGGGTGGCTATTTGAAGAATCTCAAATATAAAATATATTTTGATTTGTTTAACACTTTTTTGGTTACTACATGATTCCATAAGTGTTAATTCATAGTTTTGATGTCTTCACTATTATTCTAAAACGTAGAAAATAGTAAAAATAAAGAAAAACCCTTGAATGAGTAGGTGTTTCCAAACCTTTAACTGGTACTGTGTATATATATATATATATATATATATATAGCTACTATGAAGAAACGGTACTATAACAAGGCCATCAGACTGTTAAATAACTATCACTAGGCGGCTTCCACCCGGTTACGTAACCCTGCACCTTAGAGGCTGCTGCCCCATATACATAGACTTGAAATCACTGGCCACTTTAATAATGGAACACTAGTCACTCTAATAATGTTTACATATTTTTGCTTTACTCATCTCATATGTATATACTGTATTCTATTCTACTGTATTTTAGTCTATTCCACTCCGACATTGCTCATCCTAATATTTCTAATATTTATATATTACTTAATTCCATTATTTTACTTTTAGGTTGTGTGTATTTTGTGTATTGTTGTGAAATGTTAGATATACTGCACTGTTGGAGCTAGAAACACAAGCATTTCGCTACACCCGCAATAACATCTGCTAAACATGTGTATGTGACAAATAACATTTGATTTGATTTGGACCACATTGTTATATACATAGTAGATAAGACAAATATCCATAATGTATTTATATTGTCAATACACACCTGGCCATTCAGCCCATATTTATATTGACAATACACACCTGGCTATTCAGCCTGTATTTATATTGAAAATACACACCTGGCCATTCATCCCGTATTTATATTGACAATACACACCTGGCCATTCAGCCTGTATTTATATTGACAATACACACCTGGCCATTCAGCCTCGTAGGAGTAACCAAGGTTCTCAGGGGCTGCAAGAAACATCTCAGCGTGGGTCACTGGAGGCCAGAAGGGAACCATGTTGTACCCCCTGTTGTGACCAATGGGGGCATTCTCTGAAGGATAGACTGCCGAATCTGCAAAATGTCTCAGTTAAGAGTCAGCTTCTGAACATATGGCGGTGACGTACAAAGAAAAAAGCCTCCCAGAGCTAAACAAATATTGCATAGTGGTGTGTGTATTATGAATCTTAGTTTCCAAAGTAATCATGTAATTGTTGTGTAATTACCATTTTACCATGTAATTTAGAAGTAAATACAAGGAAAAAACAGCCTGTATGTCACGATCGTCTAAAGGAGCGGACCAATGCGCAGCGTTGCGAGTGAACATGATGACTTTTATTAAATAAAGCAACCACGAAAACAAAACAAATGACGATACGTGAAGTCCTCTGTGACACCGACAGAACATAGAACACTGGAACAATAACCCACAAAACAAAGGAGAAAACACACAGAATATATATGGCTCCCAATCAGAGATAACGAGCCGACAGCTGTCACTCGTTACCTCCGATTGGGAGTCACCTGAATAAACACGAACAATCACCACACATAGAAAGGAAACAACCAGAATACCCAACATAGAAATACACCCAACCAAGGAAAATGAACAACCCTGGCTCAATAATAAAGTCCATGGAGCCAGAGTGTCACAGTACCCCCCCCCTAAAGGTGCGCACTCCGGGCGCACCAGCATACAGTCTAGGGGAGGGTCTGGGTGGGCGTCTGTCCATGGTGGCGGTTCTGGTCCAGGTCGTGGTCCCCACCCCACCTTAGTCACTATCCGCTTCCGTATCCTCCTCCCAATGACCACCCTCCAACTAACCCCACCTGGACTAAGGGGTAACACCGGACTAAGGGGCAGCATCGGCCTAAGGGGCAGCACCGGGATAAGGGGCAGCACCGGGATAAGGGGCAGCACCGGGACAAGGGGCAGCACCGGGCTAAGGGGCAGCACCGGACTAAGGGGCAGCACCGGACTACGGGGCAGTACCGGACTAAGGGGCAGTACCGGACTAAGGGGCAGTACCAGGCTAAGGGACAGCACCAGGATAAGGGACAGCACCAGGATAAGGAGCAACACCGAGCTAAGGGGCAGCACCTGACTAAATGGCGGATCCTGGCTGGCTGGCTCTGGCGGATCCTGGCTGGCTGGCGGATCCTGGCTGGACGGCTCTGGCGGATCCCGGCTGGACGGCTCTGGCGGATCCCGGCTGGACGGCTCTGGCGGATCCCGGCTGGACGGCTCTGGCGGATCCTGGCTGGACGGCTCTGGCGGATCCTGGCTGGACGGCTCATGGCTGGCTGACGGATCTGGCTGCTCATGGCTGGCTGACGGATCTGGCTGCTCATGGCTGGCTGACGGATCTGGCTGCTCATGGCTGGCTGACGGATCTGGCTGCTCATGGCTGGCTGACGGATCTGGCTGCTCATGGCTGGCTGACGGATCTGGCTGCTCATGGCTGGCTGATGGATCTGGCTGCTCATGGCTGGCTGACGGATCTGGCTGCTCATGGCTGGCTGACGGATCTGGCTGCTCATGGCCGACTGACGGATCTGGCTGATCCTGTCTGGCGGAAGGCTCTGGCTGATCCTGTCTGGCAGAAGGCTCTGGCTGATCCTGTCTGGCAGAAGGCTCTGGCTGATCCTGTCTGGCAGAAGGCTCTGGCTGATCCTGTCTGGCGGAAGGCTCTGGCTGATCCTGTCTGGCGGAAGGCTCTAGCGGCTCCGGTCTGGCGGACGGCTCTGATGGCTCATGGCAGACGGGCGGCTTAGCAGGCTTTGGGCAGACGGGCAGTTCAGGCCCCGTTGGGCAGACGGCAGACTCTGGCCGTCTGAGGCGCATCGTAGGCCTGGTGCGTGGTGCCGGAACAGGAGGTACCGGGCTGAGGACACGCATCTCAGGGCTAGTGCGGGGAGAAGCAACAGGGCATGCTGGACCCTGGGGACGCACCGTAGGCCTGATGCGTGGTGCCGGAACTGGAGGGTACCGGGCTGAGGACACGCATCTCAGGGCTAGTGCGGGAAGCAGCAACAGGGCATGCTTGGCCCTGGGGACGCACCGTAGGCCTGATGCGTGGTGCCGGAACTGGAGGTACCGGGCTGAGGATACGCATCTCAGGGCTAGTGCGGGGAGTCGGAACAGGGCATGCTGGACCCTGGGGACTCCCATAACGCCTAGTGCGGGGAGCCGGAACAGGGCATGCTGGACCCTGGGGACTCACCTCACGCCTAGTGCGGAGAGCAGGAACAGGCCGGGCTGGGCTGGCGACGCGCACCGTATCCCTGGTGCGAGTGGCCGGAACAGGCCGGGCCGGGCTGGCGAAGCGCACCGTATCCCTGGTGCGTGGAGTAGGAACAGGCCGGGCTGGGCTGGCGACGCGCACCGTATCCCTGGTGCGAGTGGCCGGAACCGGCCGGGCCGGGCTGGCGAAGCGCACCGTATCCCTGGTGCGTGGAGTAGGAACAGGCCGGGCTGGGCTGGCGACGCGCACCGTATCCCTGGTGCGAGTGGCCGGAACCGGCCGGGCCGGGCTGGCGAAGCGCACCGTATCCCTGGTGCGTGGAGTAGGAACAGGCCGGGCTGGGCTGGCGACGCGCACCGTTTCCCTGGTGCGAGTGGCCGGAACAGGCCGGGCCGGGCTGGCGAAGCGCACCATATCCTTGGTGCGAGGGGTCGGAACAGGCCGGACCGTACTGGAGGCACACACCACTGGCTCTACCCCGGGGACTGGAACGGGCCGGACCGGACTGGATACACACCTCAGTCTCTCACGCCGTGCCTCTACATCTCCTTTCCCTACTCTGGCCAGTGACCCCCCTTAACCTGGTAGCCTCCTGAATCCTTCCCTTCTCTGCCTCCGTCAGCCCCCTTAACCTGGTAGCCTTCTGAATCTGCCTTGTGACTGCCTCCTGCTGCTCAGCTGCCCAAGCCATGTGCCCCCCCCAAAAAATTTCTTGGGGTTGCCTCTCGTCCTTCCGACGAAACACCTGCCGATGCCGTTGCTCCTCTCCTGCCAGGTTCTCCCCCTTCATCGCCCTCCGGTACCGGACGGCCTCCTCCTGGGTAATATGTCCCCAGCCGAGGAGGACATCCACCAACGTTCTCTCCTGACCCGGCGCCTCCTCCCATGTCCAGACCCTTTGCTCCTGGACGCGCTGCTTGGTCCTTTTGTGGTGGGTTATTCTGTCACGATCGTCTAAAGGAGCGGACCAATGCGCAGCGTTGCGAGTGAACATGATGACTTTTATTAAATAAAGCAACCACGAAAACAAAACAAATGACGATACGTGAAGTCCTCTGTGACACCGACAGAACATAGAACACTGGAACAATAACCCACAAAACAAAGGAGAAAACACACAGAATATATATGGCTCCCAATCAGAGATAACGAGCCGACAGCTGTCACTCGTTACCTCCGATTGGGAGTCACCTGAATAAACACGAACAATCACCACACATAGAAATGAAACAACCAGAATACCCAACATAGAAATACACCCAACCAAGGAAAATGAACAACCCTGGCTCAATAATAAAGTCCATGGAGCCAGAGTGTCACACTGTAAAATACAGCATATTCAACAAACACATACACTGAGTGTACAAAACATTAAGAACACCTGCTCTTTCCATGACATAGACTGACCAGGTGAATCCAGGTGAAAGCTATGGTCCCTTATTGATGTCACTTGTTAAATCCACTTCAATCAGTGTAGATGAAGGGGAGGAGACAGATTAAAGAAGGATTTTTAAGCCTTCAGACAATTGAGACATGGATTGTGTACAGTCGTGGTCAAAAGTTTTGAGAATGACACAAATATTAATTTTCACAATGTCTGCTGCCTCAGTTTCTATGATGGCAATTTGCATATCCTCCAGAATGTTATGAAGAGTGATCAGATGAATTGCAATTAATTGCAAAGTCCCTCTTTGCCATGAAAATGAATTTAATCCCCCAAAAACATTTCCACTGCATTTCAGCCCTGCCACAAAAGGACCAGCTGACATCATGTCAGTGATTCTCTCGTTAACACAGGTGAGAGTGTTGATGAGGACAAGGCTGGAGATCACTCTGTCATGCTGATTGAGTTAGAATAACAGACTGGAAGCTTTAAAAGGAGGTTGGTGCTTGAAATCTTTGTTCTTCCTCTGTTAACCATGGTTACCTGCAAGGAAACACGTGCCGTCATCATTGCTTTGCACAAAAAGGGCTTCACAGGCAAGGATATTGCTGCTAGTAAGATTGCACCTAAATCAACCATTTATCGGATCATCAAGAACTTCAAGGAGAGAGGTTCAATTGTTGTGAAGAAGAAAGTCCAGCAAGCGCCAAGACCGTCTCCTAAAGTTGATTCAGCTGCGGGATCGGGGCACCACCAGTGCAGAGCTTGCTCAGGAATGGCAGCAGGCAGGTGTGAGTGCATCTTCACGCACAGTGAGGCAAAGACTTTTGGAGGATGGCCTGGTGTCAAGAAGGGCAGCAAGGAAGCCACTTCTCTCCAGGAAAAACATCAGGGACAGAATGATATTCTGCAAAAGGTACAGGGATTGGACTGCTGAGGACTGGGGTAAAGTCATTTTCTCTGATGAATCACCTTTCCAATTGTTTGGGGCATCCGGAAAAAAGCTTGTCCGGAGAAGACAAGGTGAGCGCTACCATCAGTCCTGTGTCATGCCAACAGTAAAGCATCCTGAGACCATTCAGGTGTGGGGTTGCTTCTCAGCCAAGGGAGTGGGCTCACTCACAATTTTGCCTAAGAACACAGCCATGAATAAAGAATGGTACCAACACATCCTCCGAGAGCAACTTCTCCCAACCATCCAAGAACAGTTTGGTGACGAACAATGCCTTTTCCAGCATGATGGAGCACCTTGCCATAAGGCAAAAGTGATAACTAAGTGGCTCGGGAAACAAAACATCGACATTTTGGGTCCATGGCCAGGAAACTTCCCAGACATTAATCCCATTAAGAACTTGTGGTCAATCCTCAAGAGTCGGGTGGACAAACAAAAACCCACACATTCTGACAAACTCCAAGCATTGATTATGCAAGAATGGGCTGCCATCAGTCAGGATGTGGCCCAGAAGTTAATTGACAGCATGCCAGGGCGGATTGCAGAGGTCTTGAAAAAGAAGGGTCAACACTGCAAATATTGACTCTTTGCATAAACGTAATGTAATTGTCAATAAAGCCTTTGACACTTATGGAATGCTTGTAATTATACTTCAGTATACCATAGTAACATCTGACAAAAATATCTAAAAACACTAAAGCAGCAAACTTTGTGAAGACAAATACTTGTGTCATTCTCAAAACTTTTGTCCACGACTGTATGTGTGCCATTCAGAGGGTGAATGGGCAAGACAAAATATTTAAGTGCCTTTGAACGGGGTATGGTAGTAGGTGCCAGGCACCAGTTTGTGTTAAGAACTGCAAAGCTGCTGGGGTTTTCATGCTCAACAGTTTCCAGTGTGTATCAAGAATGATCCACCACCCAAAGGACATCCAGCCAACTTGACACAACTGTGGGAAGCATTGGAGTCAACATGGGCCAGCATCCATGTGGAACGCTTTTGACACCTTGTAGAGTCCATGCCCTGACGAATTGAGGCTGTTCTGAGGGCAAAAGGGGGAGGGGGGGGAGGGGGTGTAACGCAATATTAGGAAGGTATTCTTAATGTTTTGTACACTCAGTGTAGATGAGTTAGTAAAAGGATGGAAGAGCATAATATTTTCAGAAAAGCAAGCACAGACAAAGATACTAGCACAGGAAGACAATGATCAGGTCTTGAACATGAGATCAATAGTAGAATGGGATCTATTACCAGGGGCGTGCCTCCTGAGCCACTCGTCAAAGATGGCGTCGGTGAAAGTGTGGAGCAGCACGAAGATGGGGTCGTTGGGCGAGAGGTGGGTCTGCCCGCCTGTTCCGTTCAGAAACAGGTGGGCCAGGTTGTGAAGGCTCCGTACCACAGGGTCGTAGTTTCCCTGGGGGGCGCTATAGCCTGCGCACACAACACAAGTAGTTGGTGGATTAAACACAGGGAACCATGTTAAATGGATGTGAAACTCGCCCGTAGCCTTTTGGCTGGAGTACATCAGTGACATCACACCTTCCCTGAGATCTAAAGCTCACGGAGTGACAGACTTGTCTCTTTCTCTGTCGGTTTTGTGTGTGTGTGTGTGTCTGCATGTGGGTGTGTGTCAGCATGCACAACAACCCTCAATGTTCAGTGTGTGTAAGCATATGTACAGGATGTGTAGGTGTCTGTGATATCTGTGTGTGTCAATGTGAATGACTGCAACTACTGGTGTAGACCAGCAATACCCACTCACCCTCGATGGTGTTCCTGAAGCTCTCTGAGGAGGTGGAGTAGTAGGGAGGGGTGTCAAATGTGTTCACCTGCAGGCAGTCTGCAACATCCTGGGGCTCAGGGAGACGCTGCACCATGGGGTGGGCCACGTTACCTCCTGGGTTCCTCCTGATGGGGGTGGTCTCAGTGTCTAGGGGGAGAGAGAGGAGAGGGTTAAGAGGGGTCTCAGTAACCTGGGTTAATAGAGACAATAGTAAATAGACTTGGGAAGTTGGCAAGTGCTAAAGGACACACCCGGGCCCTATTTAAATACTATTTAGATGCTTCTTTCTTTCTTTTTCCCTTCCTTCCATCATTCCTTCCTTTCTTCCTTCCATCATTCCTTCCTACTTACAACCTTCCTTCCAGTAATCACTAGTTTCAAGTTTCATGTTTTAATGTCGCATTCACAAGTACAGTGAAATGCCTTTTTAGAAACTTCAAAATCCAACAATGCAATAATCAATAACAATGTAATACTAGAAAAAGAACACGAGAAAGAAGAAGAAATATGAAGAACACAATAAGTAAGTAAGTAAGTATACTATATACAGGTTCAGTTCCAATACCATATTTACAATGTGCAGAGATACTGGTGTGATGGAGGTAGATACAGTTTGTATAGGGGTAAGGTGACTAGGCAACAGGATATAAGATAAACAGAGAAGCAGTAGCTTGTATGTGAGTGGGTGTGCATGTGTGTAGAGTCAGTTTAAATGTATGTGCATATTATGTGTGAGTGAGCAGATGATGGAGTGAGTGTGTGTGTGTGTGTGTGTGTGTGTGTGTGTGTGTGTGTATGTAAGGCCCTGTGAGTCTGCATAGAGACAGTGCAAAAATACAAATAAAAGGTCAATAAAGACACAAGGTTAACTCAGATAGTCAGTGTAGCTATTTTGTTAGCTATTTATCAGTCTTATTGCTTGGGGATAGAAGCTGTTCAAGAGCCTGTTGGTGTCAGACTTGATGCATCGGTACCGCTTGCTGTGCGGAAGCAGAGAGAATAGCCTATGGCTTGGGTGGTTGGAGTCTTTAACAATTTTCCTTCCAAGGCCTGATATAGATGTCCTGGATGGCAGGGAGCTCAGCCCCAGTGAAATAATGGGCTGTCTGCACCACCCTCTGTAGTGCCATGCGATCGAGGGCGGTGCTATTGCCATACCAGGCAGTGATGCAGCCAGTCAAGATGCTCTCAATGTTACAGCTGTAGGACATTTTGAGAATTTGAGGGCCCATGCCAAACTTATTAAACCTCCTGAGGGGGAAGAGGCGCTGTTGCGCCTTCTTCACAACTGTGCGTGTGTGTTTAGACCATTTTAAGAGTGATTTGGACACCGAAGAACTTGAAGCTCTCGACCTGGTTCACTGCAGACCCGTCGATGTGGACTGAGGCGTGCTTGCCCCCCCCCCCCCCCCCCCTTTCTTGTAGTCCACGATCAGCTCCTTGGTCTTACTGACATTGAGGGAGAGGCTGTTATTCTGGCATCACACTGCCAGGTCACTGACCTCCTCCCTGTAGGCTGACTCATCGTCGCCGGTGATCAGGCCTACCATCATTGTGTCATCAGCAAACTTGATGATGGTGTTGGAGTCATGAGTGGCCATACAGTCGTGGGTGAACAGGGAGTACAGGAGGGGACTAAGCACACACCCTAGTGTTGAGGGTCAGCGAGGTGGAGGTGATGTTGCCTACCCTCACCACCTGGGGTCGGCCCGTCAGGAAATCCAGGATCCAGTTTCAGAGGGAGGTGTTCAGACCCAGAGTCTTAAGCTTGGTGACGAGCTTGGAGAGGACAATGGTATTGAACGCTGAGCTGTAGTCGATGAACAACATTCTCACACAGGTCTCTTATCTAGGTGGGTGAGAGCAGGGGAGGGTGGAGAGCAATTGAGATTGTGTAATCTATGGATCTGTTGGGGTGGTATGCAAATTGGAGTTGGTCTATGGTGTCTGGGATGTTGGAGTTAATGTGTGGCATAGCCAGCCTCTCAAAGCACTTCATGATTACAGAAGTGAGTGCTACAGGGCAGTAGTCATTGTGGCATGAAGCCTTAGAGTTCTTGGGGACAGGAATAATGGTGGTCATCTTAAAACATGTGGGGATTACAGACTGGGAGAGGTTGAAAATTACTGTGAGTATGCCTGCCAGCTGTTCTGCGAACATTCCCTAGAATATCGTCGGGCCCCGCGGCCTTGCGGGTGTTAAAGACCTTTCTCACGTTGGCCTTGGAGAGCGAGATCATCCAATCCTCTGGATCGGTGACGGCCCTCATACCCGGCACGATGTTGTTGTTGTCAAAGCGTGCAAAAAATGCATTGAGTTCGTCTGGTAGAAAGGCATCATTGGGTAGATCATGGTTGGGTCTTCCTTTGCGATTCGTAATGGACTGTAACCCCTGCCACATGCGTCGGTTGTTGAAGCCTGTGTAATATGATTCCACCTTATTCCTATATTGTCCTTTTGCTCATTTGATGATGCGGCGGTCATAGCGGGACTTCTTGTACTTATTCCTGTCCTCGGCCGTAGCGTCAGGGTTGTCTACGATAGCTCTGTGTTCGGTAGTCCTGTCCTTTAGTTTAGCCCCAACATTGGTGTTAATCCAAGGCTTTTGATTGGAGAAGCAGCAAACCCTCACTGTTGGGACAACGTCGCCGATGCATTTCCTAATGAAGCCAGTGATGGAGTTGGTTAGCTCGTCAATGTTATCGGCGGAGTCTCGAAACCTATTCCAATCAGCACTAGCAAAGCAGTCCTGTAGCATAATCTCTGATTCTGGTGACCATTTCTCAACGGAGCGAGTCACAGGTATTTCCTGTTTGAGTTTTTGCTTGTAAGCCGAAATGCCTTCTCAAACATGTGAACTTTCATGTGCCTTAATAACAAACTTGTATGCCATCTGTAAATACGAATAAAATTGTTAAATTACGTGCCTAGTTGGTTTAGCCAAAGAAAAAGACAGCAACCTTCCCGCTAGCCATGATTGGCTGAGATAATGAGTTTGGATTGGTCTGCCATATAGCAGGCTTCTGTCAAAAAATTTATCTTGTATTAAAACTGCATAAGTGTTGCTCTCCACTTTCTGGAGGACCGAGTTTTGAAATCAGTGGAATTCGAGTATGATAGCTAAGGAGATAGAGAAAACACCTGTCTCCGGATTACATCTTCAAACTAAGGGCAACCATAGCATCCGACAGGAGACGGGTCCATCCATGAATGATGTATATGGGTAAGATAGTCTAGCTAGCTACATTTTCAGAAATTACACATTTCTAATTTTGATAGAAAGATCCATTTGCTTGGCTAGCTATAGCCTAATGTTAGCTAGCTAACATTGAACCTGGTTGGTTAGCTACCTGCAGATTCATGCAGGGTAGTAACGTCATGAATTGGGATATGGTTCATTGTTTACCTAGCTAGCTAGCTAGCTAGCTATATGTCTTAAAAAAAGACTCCACTATGCAAGTAACCATTTCGGGTGCGTTCGTAAATTCAGTCCGGCCATCTACTCGGATTTCAGAGCACTCTCGTCTGAGTGTGCCAGAGCGCAGAATAACTGATGAATTTACGAATGTTGAATATGGCCGGTGTCAGTAAACGTCGGCAAAAAAACGTCATTAAATTGTTGCCAGCAGCACAGTTACAGTCACCAACGCACTGGATAACATGAAAACAGCCTAACTAGCTCTGCTAGGGCGAGTAAAATGGTCAGAGTGGGGTGTTCTCTCATTATGTCTCATTACTGCCATTGTGAGGTCAGAACATTCGGATCAACCCTACTCATGCGCAAGAGCGTCCGGTGTGCGCTCTGAACCGAGAGCGACATGTTTTGAATTTACGAACGGACAATCTGACAGCACAGTTGCAGTCACCAATGCTCTGGATAACATAACAGCCTAACCAGCTCTGCTAGGGCGAGTAATGTTCAGTGAGCTGTTCTGGAAGTAGCTAGCAAGTTAGCTTGGGTGCTTGCCTTCTGTTGTTACTACAGAACGCTCAGATCATCCCTTAAAGAGATGGGTGTGGCTAAATGTAAGAGGGTATGAACGATGCTGAATGGGTGTAGACAAAGAAGGGCTCTCCAGTAACAGTACCAAAAGATTCAAAGGCCATTTTTTCAAAAGTGAGTTTACAAGTTTATCACCTTTCAAAGCAAAATTACTTTCCCATTGTTCCTCAACTGTAGTGTATGATAGACCATTTTGTAGCTCCGAGTCTCTACTTGTATCCAATGTAAAAAAACACCATTTCAAATGTTGCTAAGTAAGACCAATTTCAGTACATATGTCCCTTGATGTTCTAGTCATTTGTCAACCTTGCTGAGTATGTTTCTATAATCTCAATGAATTCTACCCATTTTAACATTTGGGGAGGGTGAGTTGATCCTAGATCTGTGCCTACAGGCAACTTCTACCCACCATATATGGTGTTTTCTTTCAAACTTGGAAGGATATGAGCGCACTACTGAAGGCTTACTGTTGCAGATGGTTCCCAGTGTATCATAGTCCTCCACACTCTCACAGATCACCCTCCAGTTGGAGAAGATAGAGTTGGTGCTGATGGAATTCATATCGAGGTTGCTCCTCGCTCCCAATAGGTCATCTGTGCAGATGTCACAGGTGCTTCCACCAATGGCAAAGTTCCAGTAGGGCAGGGCAAAGGAAGGGTCTTGCAGCATATCCTAAATTGAGAGTAGGGTTAGAATTAATTACATAAAGGGCACACAATTATAATAATTAGTTTGTGCAATTAGAAGCCACAATAATGAACTGCAAATAAAATAGTTACAAATGGTCTTGGAGAAGTATATAGTGCCTGCATTATTTTAAGCCAACTAATGCAACAACATACAGCTGTATCACAATCTCAATATTTAGCTGCAACTGATTCAATTTTTTCAATTGTATGAAACAATGATTTGTCTTTATTGCTGAGGCCTAATATAGCCCCCATACTGACAGCCAAGATAAATATCTTTGAAAACAATAAACAGTCTCTGTCAGTAATGCCAATGTGTAATGCATAATTCAAGGGATAACTTGGACAACAGATGCTCTTTTGTGTCCTATTAGAGGGGAAATCTAGGCTCAGACTAGTAAACGCTTAAGCACATTTTCTGCAAAGCTTGCTTGATTATGGCACAAAATTGCTTCATCTGGAAAGATATCCTCACCCTTAATGTGGCACTAATTCAAGCAAACAATAGGTAAAGTGGGCACCGAGTGGCGCAGTGGTCTAAGGCACTGCATCGCAGTGCTAGCTGTGCCACTAGAGATCCTGGTTCGAATCCAGGCTCTGTCGTAGCCGGCCGCGACCGGGAGACCCATGGGGCGGCGCACAATTGGCCCAGCGTCGTCCAGGGTAGGGGAGGGAATGGCCGGCAGGGATGTAGCTCAGTTGGTAAAGCATGGCGTTTGCAACGCCAGGGTTGTGGGTTCGATTCCCACGGGGGGCCAGTATGAAAAAAATATATAAAAATAAATAAATAATGTATGCACTCACTAACTGTAAGTCGCTCTGGATAAGAGCGTCTGCTAAATGACTAAAAATGTAAAAATGTAAAGTGAAATAACTATTGATGGGTAATAAATAGGCCCAGCCTACAGATTAAAATTGATTTTGCTGGAGGTGAAAATCCATAATACCATTAGATGATTGCCTATTATATTGTGATATCCAATTGAATAGTAGGCACACTATAAAATTAGTTATTTGCATTATTATTGACTATTTCACTTCATATTACATGCAGTGACATACATGTGATTGTTGGTACCCCATCTCACCTGCATGTCGCGCTCAAGTTGGAGCAGGTGAAACCTGTGCCAGGTCACAAACCCGGGACCTTGGTGAGAGAAGTCGACTCCGCCAAAGCTCGGCTGGCCGGCCCCCATGAAGGTCTTGCTGACCGAATAGTAGTGGGTCCATACAAAGTAATTGTAGATGGTGATGTTCTCAAACTGCGGGGTATTTCCATCGGGTCCGAAGACATCCTGGTACCGCCGCGTAGCTATCACAATGTCTGGATGCACGGTGCGCTTGGCCTGGTCCAGTGCGGTCACGAAAGCTCGCTTCTGATCCGCACTTAGCTGCATCACGTTTCTCCGGACTGAAGGATTAAAGAGAAAAATAAAATGTGATTATCTTAATCATTAATGCGTTAATGAGCACATTTTTTTGTGGAAAGAAATTAAGAAATTATAGGGCAGGTAGCCTAGTCACCGTTCATCTCTACGCATACACCATTGCCTGAATATGAGGCAAAAAGGTCATTATATCACTATATGTAAGGACATTCGTGTCCTTGCAAAACATTTTTGTGTTGTATGCTTTCCATAGTCTGTGCAGAAATGTGTCTTTTAAACAGTTGAGTGGCAGTGCATTAAGTCAAAGTTGACTTAGGGGTAGACATAACATAGTAAACGAAAATCTGGGATGCTCAAATTAGTGTGATATGTTACGTTTGGTATGGTATTCATTTGTGGATTTCCATCATCATATGATATGTTACGAATTACAATTAATATGTTATGAATTACAATTTGTTGTCACGGATTCTGCCGAGGCTGCCCCTCCTCCTTGCTCGGGCAGGCTTCGGCGTTCGTCGTCACCGGAATACTAGCTACTGCCGATCTATGTTTCTATGTTTCTATGTTGCACCTGTTGTCTATTGTCACACACCTGTTGCCCATTATTGTAATCACGCCTTCCCTATTTAACCCAGTGGCTCCCAATGTGTTTTGTGCGTGGTTGTTTTTCGTTTCGTGTGTCGTTGGTGAGCGGGTTAGTTCCTCCCTGTGTGGAGGTATTCAGTTTTGTTATCTTTACTTATTTCAGTAAAGTACGTTTCTTAGAGTTCTGTGTCCTGCGCCTGACTTCGATCCACCGCATTACACTGACACCCGTGACAGAACCACGCACCATTTATGGAGTCAGCAGGTACAGCCAGTCAGTCCGAATCGATGGAGGAACGATTTCAACGACAGGAGAGTATAATCCAGGCTCTTGGCACCGCCATGGAGAGGGTGATGAATACTATGGACAGTTGGGAGAGAGGTGGCCTTCCTACACCTCCTCCAACCACTCTACCACTCATACCACAGTCCACCCCTTCGCCACCTGGGCCCAGTGGGATTCGGCTCTCGCTCCCGGCGCCCTCGGGATACGAGAGCGTGTCCGACCTCATCTCCTGTCTGTCGAGGAAGGCGCTCGAGTGGGCCAACGCCGAGTGGGGAGGAATTGACGCTACATCGGTCCGCTACGAGGATTTCACCCGCCGCTTCCGGGCGGTATTCGATCGTCCACCGGAGGGGAGAGCGGCGGGCGAGCGTCTGTTCCACCTAAGACAGGAGAGGAGGAGCGCCCAGGATTTTGCGCTGGAGTTCAGGACATTGGCAGCCAGCGCAGGATGGAATGAGAGGGCCCTGATCGACCACTATCGTTGCAGCCTAAGGGAGGACGTTCGGAGGGAACTGGCCTGCAGGGATACCAATCTCAACCTGGACCAACTGGTGGAGATGTCCATCAGGCTGGATAACCTGTTGGAGACCCGCGGACGTTCTGATCAGGGCCCATTCATTCCATCCCCCAGCACCTCCGACTCTACCCCCATGCGCTTAGGGAGACCAGGAGAGGGGCCGTCCCCTGCACCAACTGTGGCCGCAGAGGACACACTGCCAAGATAGCGTAGCAGTGCGGTCGTGTTCTCTTGTGTGTCCATGTAAATAGCCTGTTTTTATTTTTTATTTTTTTTATTTTACGTATATATTTCCCTATCACACTTTTCATCCTTCTACTAAATATACTTTCCTGCAATCCGCCTCACTCAATGTGGAACAGATTCTATTATTTACTCACCTTTATCTAGAATCTCCAGTTGAAACTAGCCAGTCAGCTAACTAGCTAACTAGCTACTTGCTATTAGCCGCCGTTAGCGGTTTTCACCCAGAACATCAGATTTTCTGCCGGAATAACTGAATCACTGGACCATAACACCGGATCTAGCTAGCCGCAACCGAATGGATGTCGAATGGATGTTGCTGTAGGCTAATCACCACTGTCCCCGTAGCACCAGTTAGCCTTGAGCCTTGAGCTAGCCCCGGCTATCTACCTCTCTGTCTACCGGACGGGAGTAGCCAGCGAACCAGCTAACTAACTACTTGCTATTAGCCACCGTTAGCGGCTTTTCTCCATTGTCCGTGGCCTGCACTACCTACCAGCCAGCTCTAGCCTGGACTATTATTGGCCAGTCTGCACTGTCTGCACAGCGAGTTATCGACCCAGAACCTATCAGATTTTCTGCCGGAATCACTGAATCACTGGACCATTAACACTAGATAATCGCAGCTAGCTAGCTGCAACCAAATGAACGTTGTTGTTGGCTAATCAGCCTTGAGCTAGCCTTGAGTCAGGCACATCTCCCGGCTATCTACCTCTCTGTCAACCGGACGGGACCTCCTAGTCAACACGGAGCCCCGCCGATCCATCACGACTGGTCTGCAGACGTAATCGTCTGTGGTTTCAACAGGCTTCCCGTTGCGACGACCACGAAGATCCATCTGCTAGCCCCAGCCCGCTAGCACACGCAAACTACAACCGTGCTTCCTGCTCACTGTGCTGAAGCACCAATTTGAACTGCTCTCGGACTCACATATTGCTGTTCACTGGACCTTATGATCACTCAGCTGCACAGCTGATGCCTGCTGGACTGTTCCTTTACACGGTACCCTGTCCTGTTTATTCTGTTTAGCCTCAGCCCAAACTTTATTGCCATTCCCAGTTGTTGTTTTAGCTCTCTCTAATAACACCTGTGATTGCTTTATGCCTCTCTCCCATGTCAATATGCCTTGCCTATTGCTGTTCCAGTTAGTTCTTATCATACAATTTCACTGTAGAACCCCAAGTCCCTCTCAAACTGCCTCAAATAGTTCCTTTGTTCCACCCCCAATACACGCCGAGAACGGCTCAATCGGTGTCTCCAGTGATGCTATCTCTTTCATTGTTACCAAACGCTTAGGTTTACCTCCACTGTACTCATATCCTTCCATATCCTTGTCTGTACATAATGCCCTGAATTTTTCTACAACACCTGGAAATCTGCCCCCTTTATTCTCTGTACCCAACGCACTAGAAGACCAGTTCTTAAAGCCTTTAGCCGTATCCTTATTCTAGTCCTCCTCTGTTCTTCTGGTGATGTAGAGGCTAACCCAGGCCCTGCAGCCCCCAGTATCACTCCTACTCCCCAGGAGCTATCATTTGTTGACTTCTGTAACCGTAAAAGCCTTGGTTTTCTGCACGTTAATAAGAAGCCTCCTTCCTAAGTTTGAGTTATTCACTGCGTTAGCACACTCCGCCAACCCTGATGTTCTAGCAGTGTTTGAATCCTGGCTTAGGAAGGCCACCAAAAATTCTGAAATGTCCATCCCCAACTACAACATTTTCTGTCTAGATAGAACTGCCAAAGGGGGTGGAGTTGCAATCTACTGTATATCCAGGTCTGTGCCCAAACAGTTTGAGCTTCTACTTCAAAAAATCCACCTTTCCAGAAATAACTCTCTCACTGTTGCCGCTTGCTACAGACCCCCCTCAGCCCCCAGCTGTGCCCTGGACACCATATGTGAATTGATTGCCCCCCATTTATCCTCAGAGTTCGTACTGCTTGGTGACCTAAATTGGGATATGCTTAACACCCCGGCCATCCTACAATCCAAACTAGATGCCATCAATCTCACACAAATTATCAACGAACCTACCAGGTACAACCCTAAATCCGTAAACATGGGTACCCTCATAGATATCATCCTGACTAACTTACCCTCTAAATACACCGCTGTCTTCAACCAGGATCTCAGCGATCACTGCCTTATTGCCTGCGTCCGTAACGGGTCCGCAGTCAAACGACCACCCCTCATCAGTGTCAAACTCTCCCTAAAACACTTTAGCGAGCAGGCCTTCCTAATTGACCTGGCCCAGGTATCCTGGATGGATATAGATCTCATTCCGTCAGTAGAGGATGCCTGGTTTTCTTTAAAAGTAATTTCCTCTCAATCTTAAATAAACATGCCCCATTCAAAAAAGACAGAACTAAGAACAGATATAGCCCCTGGTTCTCCTCAGACTTGACGGCCCTTGACCAGCACAAAAACATCCTGTGGTGTACTGCATTAGCATCAAATAGCCCCCGCGATATGCAACTTTTCAGGGAAGTTAGGAACCAATATACACAAGCAGTTAGGAAAGCAAAGGCTAACTTTTTCAAACAGAAATGTGCATCCTGTAGCACTTACTCCAAAAAGTTATGGGACACTGTAAAGCCATGGAGAATAAGAGCACTTCCTCCCAGCTGCCCACTGCACTGAGGCTAGGAAACACTATCATCACCGATAAATCTACAATAATCGAGAATTTCAACAAGCATTTTGCTACAGCTGGCCATGCTTTCCACCTGGCTACCACTACCCGGGCCACCAGCTCTGCACCCTCCGCTGCAACTTGCCCATGCCCCCCCCCCCCCCGCTTCTCCTTCACACAAATTCAGACAGCTGATGTTCTGAAAGAGCTGTAAAATCTGGACCCCTACAAATCAGCTGGGCTAGACAATCTGGACCCTTTCTTTCCAAAACTAGCCGCCGAAATTGTCGCAACCCCTATTACTAGCCTGTTCAACCTCTCGTTCGTAACGTCTGAGATCCCCAGAGATTGGAAAGCTGCCGCGGTCATCCCCCTCTTCAAAGGGGGTGACACTCTAGATCCAAACTGTTACAGACCTATATCCATCCTGCCCTGCCTTTTGAACGTTTTTGAAAGCCAAGTTAACAAACAGATCACCGACCATTTCGAATCCCACCGTACCTTCTCCGCTATGCAATCCGGTTTCCGAGCTGGTCATGGGTGCACCTCAGCCACGCTCAAGGTCCTAAACTTTATTATAACTGCGATCGATAATAGACTACTGTGCAGCTGTTTTCATCGACCTGGCCAAGGCTTTCGACACTGTCAACCACCGCATTCTTTTAGGCAGACTAAATAGCCTTGGTTTCTCAAATGACTGCCTTGCCTGGTTCACCAACTACTTCTCAGATAGAGTTCAATGTGTCAAATCGGAGGGCCTGTTGTCTGGACCTATGGCAGTCTCTATGGGGGTGCCACAGGGTTCAATTCTTGGGCCGACTCTTTTCTCTGTGTATATCAATGATGTCGCTCTTGCTGCTGGTGACTCTCAGATCCACC